TCCAGCCTGCCCTAGAGCACAGGCCAGAAGCCCTGGGTCTAATTACTGTCCCGTCTGGGGCCTTGGAGCCGAGGGGCGTCAAGTTTGGAGTGGCTGCTTGGTTCCTCCTGTTTCTAAAACCATCCTACACTCATTCCCGTCTTCTCCTGCATGGTGTCGTTTCTCCCCCCATCCCCCGCCTGTTTTTCAAGCATCTCCAAAGAAAAGTTGTTAACCCTCAAAATAAAACAAATATTTACAACTCAATAATTCCAAAATAGCATCATCTCTGCGGAGCTTCATGGATTCTTCCAGCCGTCCTACACTCGGGCCCGCACCTGGGGCTGCACGGTGAGCCCTTCCTTAGGGCCCCACTGTTTCTGCACACGGTGGCTTCACTGGCCCACTGCTGTCCTGTGCCCACCGAGGCCCCCAGCTCTGCCTGTTCTCTGCAGTCAGATGCCCAACGGCCAGTTCCCCCAGGAGAGAGCGACACCCCCACCGCACACAGGCAGTCTGACTCTCAGCTCTGCCAGCAGAGGCAACTTGAGCACATCCCACCTGGGGGCTTGGAGATGGGCTGGGCAGGCAGAGCGAGGGAGGCAGCAAGGAGGCTTTAGGATGCGCCGGGGGGCCTGGGCTCTGGGAGAGCTGGTGCCAGAGCAAAGGTCCCAGGTGCCATGGAGCCCTGGCTCCCTGCTGCCTCTGACCCATGGAGAGCGCTAGGCCCACCACCCTAGGCAGAGCACGGACTTGAGAGTCACTCAGGGCTGGGTCCACCCTGCCCGACCCCCACTGCCAAGTCGTCTGTCTCTCTGAGCTATTTCCTCTCCCACCAAAGCTGGGGTGATAAGAGGTGCCTCAGAGGGGAGACCAGCTCCCTACTGTTGCCGTAACAACTGACTGTACACAGCCCAGATTTACTGCTGCACAGTTCTGGGGCCAGAGGCCCAAGTGGGTCTCCCTGGGCCAAATCAAGTGTCAGCGGCCTGGGCTGGTCCTGCTGGAGGCTCTGGGGGACCCCAGGCCTTAGAGGCCGCCCACTAAAGCCAGCTATGGCTAGCTCATTCCTTCCCACGCTGCCATGTCTCTGGGCCCTCGAGGACCCTGGTGATTAGATTGGGTCTACCTGGATGCGCCAGGATGGTCCATCCCAAGGGCAGTTGATGAACAATCTCAATCCTGCCTTTGCCACGTACACATTGCCAGGTCCCAGGGACTAGGCTGCAGACATCCTGTGGGGGGTGGGTCATTCTGTACCGGACAAAACTATATGCACCTATTGCTCTGGACAGAGAGGTCACTTAGTAAAGAAGGGCTTCTCCTCTGATTTCCCCCATCAGGAGGTTTGGCAAAGTTTCAAAGCCCTGGATGTAAAGAGTAAATGTGAAAGTAAATTGGCAGAGAAGATAGAGGTGAACAGGAGAAAAGAAGTGATGTGGGGAGGGACTTCCCTGCCTGTCCAGTATTTAAGACTCCACGCTTCCACTGCAGGGGGCACGGGTTCAATCCCTTGTCCGGGAAATAAGATCCCACATGCTGGGAGGTGCGGCCAAAAAAAACACGTGGGGAGACACTATGAAGTGATGGGGTCGCAGGATGAGTCCCAGGGCCTTCTTTCCTCAGCTCCCACTTTCATCTGAGCCTTCCCCATCTCATGGGCCTCATCTGACTGGGAGCAGTTCCTCTCCTGAGCGACGCCAAAGCATCCACCTGGGGAGGTAGACCTCACGTCCCACCTGGAGCACCTCACGTCCCACCTGGGGCACCTCACGTCCCACCTGGGGGACCTCACGTCCCACCTGGAGCACCTCACATCCCACCTGGGGGACCTCACATCCCACCTGGGGGACCTCACGTCCCACCTGGAGCACCTCACGTCCCACCTGGGGGACCTCACGTCCCACCTGGAGCACCTCACGTCCCACCTGGGGGACCTCACGTCCCACCTGGGGGACCTCACGTCCCACCTGCCTCTCTTTTAGGACAGCCACTAGCTGCTGGAGCTCATGTCACCTAGTCCCCCTCTGGCCAGAGTCATGGGTAAAGTACCACTTGTGTTTGGAGCAATTTTCCAATAAGTTGAGAAGGAAAAATTCAAAGGCTCCAACACAGATGCCTTTGAGGAGGGGAGTGGCCCCAGCCTTTCAGGATGAATAGGAGGCTCTCTGGGGCCTCAGCAATGACAGCAATGACATAGAGGATGAGGCATAAAGCGATGGTTTCTAACATGGTTCCCCTGGAGATTACACTGTCTGGGAAGTGCGGCCCTTTGGAAGGGGCCCTGAGGAGTGGGTGGCCCCGCCCTGGAGCAAGACCCAGGAGATGGGCCCGTCATGGTCCCTGGTGTGCAAACTGTGCTACCACCCTGTAGACGGCATCCAGGACGGGATGCCCACCATCCCTATACAAAAGGGGACCATCGCTTTCTTCAGTCACTAACGTATCACCTTCAATCCTGCGGCACCGTCTGGCGTGAGCTCTACGTGACCTCTCCTCCGCAGCATCAAACCCTCCCCTCCACCAGGTTTTAAGAGGAGGGAGAGCACTTGTTTGAGTCCTGCCCAGCACCAAACTTGCCCGGATAAATCCCACAAAACAAAATCCATTCTCAAGAATCACCTCGCTACACTGACTCCACTGAGGAGGCCCCTCAGGGCTTCCAATCCCCCCGTGTCTGTACTCGTCACTCATTTCTGGAAGCTAAGGATGTGTTCATTCCCCATGAATTCAGCACCAAAAGGAGGCAGAGAAACACAGGAAATAAAAGTGTCTGGGCCTTCGCTTGACCTCCTGTCCCCACACAGCTCAGAGCAAACTGCAGGGACAATGCCACTCGAACTGGGGGGACAGTGTCTGCCCCAGGGTGGATTGAGTGGGGCATTCTTTGGGGCTTTGCCGTCATTTCAGGGGCTCACCTGGGATGGGAAGGGTGCTCCTGTCCACACAGCATGCCTGGCTGGCCTGCTCCTGGGCCGCTGGGAAGCCGGGTCCCTGCAGGTGTCTTCATCCCTCCTGGTGGCCAGAGACGGTGCCCAGGCTCCCCTACACACGGGGTCCAGGGTTCTGCACCCAAAGCCCCCACGTTGACAGAAGTGGGATCCCTTACTTCTCACCGCCACCATCCCCTGCCCCATCTCCCATCCCAGGTCCCAGTGGGGCTGGAGATGACACTGTGCTGGAGGCCTGGTTGTGCTCAGTGTTGGGGTCTGGGTTTTGATATCCAAGCCCAGGGGCTCTCCCCCAGCCCCACATCCTCCCTCCCTCCTTCCTCTATGCCCCTGCTGGAGCCAGTGCCAGTCAGGGGCCTGGTCAGCACTGGCCCAGCCTTGCTGGGAACTAGAGACACCACTGGGAACTAGAGACACCAGTCCAACACCCTCAGGGAGCCGGTCCTGAAGGTCGGCCCCTGCGCCTGGCCCCATGGCCCCATCCCACCCCCAGGCTAGCCAGGCCGCAGCCAGGCCCCCACGTCATCCACCCAGAGGCCACCTCCGGAGTGTCCTGAGTGGACATGGGGCAGGCGGAGGCAGCTGGCTGTCATCCTCATTAAAATTCTTTTTCAAACGCTCCTGTGAGTGGCCTGCTAAAGATAAGCTATCAGGAGAGAGGCCTTCAAAGAAATTGCTCTAATGGTACAATTATCTTCAATCAACTCAGAACATCTTTATTACATTAGAAAGGGGCAATCCATCTTGGAATGCAGAAAGAACTGATCTAGCCACAGATGCAGGCCTGGCCTGGAGGAGTCTGAGGGCCCCTTTCAGTCATGCTTCTAAGTTTGCATGGAGAGAAACTTTCTAATTGAATTTTTCTAGCTGAACTGGATAAAGTGTCACCCAAAGCTAGATTTCATTAAACAACTTTGAGGGTTTCCCTGGTGGCGCAGTGGTTGAGAGTCCGCCTGCCGATGTAGGGGACGTGGGTTCGTGTCCCGGTCCAAGAAGATCCCACATGCCGCGGAGCGGCTGGGCCCGTGAGCCATGGCCGCTGAGCCTGCGCGTCCGGAGCCTGTGCTCCGCAACGGGAGAGGCCACAGCAGTGAGAGGCCTGAGTACCGCAAAAAAAAAAAAAAAAACCACTTTGGTTTTTCAAAAATAAACATGTACGGATTTAGGTTGCTGTTTCCGTGTTCTGGGATATTAATCGGACATAAAGGTGTTACCTGCAAAATAATCTCATGATTTATTCTAAAACACAGTCGGGGTTTCTTTCGTTCCGCGAGAGGCTGCAGAGCGGTGCCTCGTCTGCAGCACCCCAGAAGGTTTTTAAACCAAAGATTGGTTCAGTTTTGGAAAAATAATCCGAGTGAAGCGTAAATCTCTGTCGGGCCTTGGCTCCACCTTCTACGAGCCGTGTCGGGGATCCCTCTCCGCCTGATCCGCGGGGGCCCCGTTGACAGCCCGGCCCCGTCTGGCCGGGTCAGTCGGAAGCCCGCGCCGCGGGGCTTTTCCCAGGTCCCAGGTCCCGCGACTCCGGACGATTCGGCCAAGCAAGTGAGGAGCGGGAGAGGCTGACGGTGAATCCAACACCCAGCGACTGACCTCGCGCCCCAGCGGCCCGAGGCGCCCTGCCTGTGCCCCAAGCCCTGCGTCGCAGGCGGGTGAGAGGTCGGCCCCTCGGCCTTCTCCGCGGCTCCGGGCCCTGCCCGGGGACCTTCGACGTGCCCCGCCGGCCGTTCCTGGAGCCAGGCCGTGGGACGCCACGGAGAGCGTTCGGCAGCTACGGGTGCCTAAAAAGCCATTCAGGGTCAGGGCACCTGAGGCCCGACTACAAGGCGACAGAAGCAGGGTCCTCGGTGCGGGCGCAGGTTCAGTCAAAAGCAGCCCCCAGGGTTCGGAGGGAACGCCTGGGCCACAGCAGGCACGCGCCGAAGGCTCAGGCTCCGGACTGGGCGCAGCGGGAAGAGCAGCCGGCGAGCGACAGAGGGACAACACTACGGGAGGCGCCGGCGTCGCCTCTCTGACGGCGCCGAGCTCTCCGCGTCTCAGGATCCGCGCGCGGTCCCGACCTGTGCCCGGACCGCGGCTCAACCAGGTCGCGCCCACTGTGGGCTCCTGCGCGTGGGGAGGCTGGGGCCAGCGCCTCGTGCTCCCCGGGTGTACCAGCCACCTCCCAGCCGGGCCGCAGCGCTCCGGGAGAGGACAGCCGGGCTCAGGAAAGTCCACAGGGGAGCGCCAGGCAGGCCGGGGCTGGGGCGCTAGAGTCCCAGTCGGCCGTCCCGCCCTCCCGGGTCAGCGAAACCAATGGACGCCTGGGCCCACGCGGCAGCGACAGCGGCGATTGGACAGCTGGGCATGAAAGGGGCGCCGCCTTTTTATAGGGCTCTGAGGGCGGGGGCGCAGTGGAGCCCCCGGCAGTGTCGCGGCGCGCTGGCCCCACGTCGCGCCTGCTGAGCCCCGCCAGCCCCGCGCCCGCCGGCCAGCGCATGGCCCCGGCGTCGCTCGGCATGAACCCTGTTGGGCTCAGGACGTGCAGCAGGGACCGTGCGGGGTCCGGCCCGTTGCCCTTCAGCGTCAAGTCGCTGCTGCAGGCAGAGCACTGGCTGGGCGCGGAGCCCGCGGAGCCCCGGGAGGAGAGGCCGCGGGGCGCCGCGGAACCCCGGGCCTGGGTCCCGGCGGCCGCCCCCTTGTCCTCCCCACGTAAGTGCCCTGTCGCACGGTTCTGGGCTGCGAGAGGAGCCCGCCCGGCCCGGGCTCGGAGGACTAGGGCGGGAAGGACGCTGTCTCTCGTAACTTTGGAAAGTAACCAGCCACTAACGCGCCGGCCCGGGCGCAGAGAAAGAAACCAGCCCACGCGAGCCCACCCGACCCCTCCCGCGCGCGCGCGAACCCCACGGCGGCTCCCCGGCCCCACGCCAAACAGGCTTCTGCTCTACCCTGGGGCGGAGCCCGCAACCCAAGACCCGGGGCTTCTTGTCTCGGAGTCTCTTTGGCCGAGCACCCCTTTTGCTGCCGTCACTCCCCGCGATGGTTGACTTCTGCTTGGCCTCTGCGCTTCCCGCCCAAGTTTTTCGCTTTTCCAAGTGGGCAGAGTTCCCCTCCTCCCGAGGGACGCAAGGCCACCGATCTGGGGAGCAGAACCCGAGTCCACAACGGCCCCCCTCTCCGCGCGCCGTCTCCCCGGTGCCTCGCTTCTATTACCCCGGAGGTTTGGGGGTATCTTGTCTCAACTGAGGTCCGCGGTCTCGGCCGGGACACGCATCCGGAACCGTCCTTGGCGCGCACTGCTGGCGTTTGAGCGTCCGCTTTGTGCTCTTTCCCCCTAGGCGCCCCCAGCCCTCCACCCTGCACCCTCAGGAAACACAAGAACAACCGCAAGCCGCGGACGCCCTTCACCACCGCGCAGCTGCTGGCGCTGGAGGGCAAGTTCCGCCAGAAGCAGTACCTGTCCATCGCGGAGCGCGCCGAGTTCTCCAGCAGCCTGAGCCTCTCCGAGACGCAGGTCAAGATCTGGTTTCAGAACCGCCGGGCCAAGGCCAAGCGACTGCAGGAGGCCGAGCTGGAGAAGCTGAAGCTGGCGGCCAAGCCGCTGCTGCCCTCGTTCGCCCTGCCCTTCCCGCTGGGCGTCCACCTTCACGGCTCCCCGGCCGTGTACGGCAGCGCGGCGGGCTCCCTGCCGCAGGTGCCGGGACTCCTCGCCGCGCCCGTGGCCGCCTACGGCATGTATTACCTGTCCTAGGGCTGCAAGGCCGTGGGCCCTGGGGGCCCGCTGGGGAGGAAGGGCACGCGCGCAGGGGGTGTAGGGGGCGGGGTGTTGTCTTCCCAGGTCCGGAGACGGGTCCCCGCGGGCGAGCGGCGCCCCGGCCGGTTCCTTGCTCCTGGTGCGCAGCGGGCGTCTCGGGGTTCTCTTCTTGTCTCGTTTTTCAGGTTTTTGTTTTTGTTGTTGTTAATACTGTGTTAAACTGGATGCCGCAAGACTATCTGTGGGCATCTTACGGTTATTTTAAAAAAATGTTTTTATAAAGTTATGTTAGTGCAAACTTTCCTGAAAGACAGTGAACATAGTTTTATATTGTCCTCGAAATGGACAAAATAGGACTTTCCAATGTATACAAAGCAGCCAATAAAGTATTCTGAGGTTTCCTCTGTGGACCTGTCTCGGTAACCGCGGCGGCTCGGAAGAACTTAGTAGATTGTTTCTGGCTGCAGCGGCAGGAAACTGATTCGGAACAAAGAAACGACAGGAACAGTTTGGTGCCGGAATTGCTAAAGAGAAACTTACCAACTACTTTCGCTAACTAGGTTTCTCAGCGTTGTGTGCGAGTGGAGACTTTCACGCTTATTTTAGGGAATTTTTCCCGCGTTCATTTATGTATTTATGTATTTTACTAGAGAACGTCCGGGAGCCTGAGGCGAAGTGCTGTCTCTGTGGGATCATGTGCGTGAGGGTGCGTGCGGTGAGTGTGCGCGGGGCATCCACGCGTGGGCCCGGCGGCCTCGGAACCTCGGACTCGTGGAGCGCGGACCGCACCGCGGGCTGGCGCGGTCGCTTGGCTTCCGCGGGGACGGAGCTGGAGCGGGACAGCGGTCGGCGTTGTCCGGCGGAAAGAGAAGGAATGGCCGCGCGCCCGCAGCGGGACCGGCGGTGCCAGCGGCCAGCTGCGTCCTGCCGACTCGCCAGGGTGGCCGGTGGCCGGGGACCTGCTGCGCATCCTTCTGCTGCCTCTTGACAACGTGCTGACATAACTTAGGAACCGGGCGCCCAGGCGCCAAGCAAGAGGACGGTCCGACCCTCTCCCCTGTCCGAACGTCTGCCCTGCTGCCCCCAATGCTCCGACTCAGGGCTGGGGCCGTGGCGGGCGATCTTGGGGTTAGCTCACCTCCCCTCCCTCACCCGCCGGGCCGGAGGGGGCACCTGGGCAGCAGACCGCCTCTGCCGCGTGGGCATAGGGACACGCAGTGACCACGCGAGAGGCCAATTCCAGGCCCGTCTCTCCCTGTAATGACTGCAGGGCTGGGGTCCTGCCGCCTGCGAAGGCGAAGCACTGACTTTTACTGGGCAGGCAGCGGAGGTGCCGCTCCCCGGGAAGCAAGGATAATACTGCATTAATTTACATGTCGTAGCCATCATTCTCCCTCGGTTTCCTGGAAAAATGCAAACTCAGGATGAATTTGAAAGAGAAACTAAAGCAGTTCTTGAAGTGCAGCTGCTAAGAATGAAGGCCTGGTGATGGGAAGGGGGAGGAGGCCAGATGCGTCCAGTCCCTCCTGGGGTGTGGGCCAGCGAGTCCTGAACCTGTGCTGCTTAAGCTCAGAACCCAGCTCCAGTCACGATTTGCGAGGGGCCAGACCCGTCCGTGGTCTGGAAAGTGCCAGAGAAGGCAGGTGGGGGCCGCTGCACCAAGGGAGCTGGACGAGGGGCCCAGGGGCCCTGAGAGCGACCACCCGCCTTCTGTGTGCCCAGGCACCTGCAGGACCACATCTGCGGCTTTTTAAGGCCCGTCAATACTTTGATCCTCTTCTCCACACCCCAGAGCGCTGGGCAGCCCGGGGCTGGCAGAGGGATCGGCTGCATCAATTTGCTACGGGTCTGCATGACCGGTTCTGACCAAGACACCTCCCCAGGGAGCCTCTCCTCTCAGGACCCCACGGAGCAGCTCGACCATCCTTTGTCTGACTCAGGGCTTGGCACCCAGACCACTGGAGGGTGAGCAAGGCTCTGTGGAGGCCCAGAGCCCACCAGCTGGGTGCCCTTGCTGGGAAAGGCTGAAGCAAACTTATCAAGACCAAGACTTTCCCATTGTTCTAGACCAGGCTCCCGCCCAGGGGAGAGCACTGTGGACTTCTACTGCCTGTCCACCGTCTCATGGACAACTCGGGCCCCTGAATGCCCTGGGCCAGGTCCTGGGGCCAGGGGACACTGCCGGCCGTCTCCTCAGCCACTGTGTCTCCAAGGCCTTAAGGCTGCCCAGCTGGCCGGAGCCAACGCGGGAGGACTCACCCATCAGGACCCTGCACGGAGGGGTCCGAGCTCCAGAGTCCGGCTTCCCCCCCAGCCCCGCTGGTTCCCAGTCACCTGCCTCATGCCCGGCTGCTGGATTTGGAGACAGCAGCCCTGCCCTTGGGAGACCACCTGGACAGGGGGACAGGAGAGCAGTTCAGGGCAGAGCACGCCTCTCTGGAGGTGCAGGGGCCACCTGATCTGGGGACAAGGAGTGGGCCAAGTTATGCAAAGGTGTGGACTGCGGTGACCCCAGTAGTGCCAGAGTGGGGAAGATGGGACTAGGGAGGACGCTAAACAGTGACCCACCCAGCATGCCTGGGTCTCAGGGTCTCAGGAAGACTGCCCTGAGGCTCCCACGTCAGGGTCGCCTCTGGTTCCTGGGTGGGGACCAGGGTCCCTTCCTGGCATCCAGTCAGCTCTATGGTCCCTGCTGGCCCCCGAGCCAACCTGGCCTACTCTGTGCCAGGCATGGACCCCAGGCCGCAGGTCTTGCGCCTGTGGACCACTCAGAGGGTTGGGCCAGGTCAGTTCTGCTTCAGCACTTCTGGGGGAGGGACTCCCGCAATCTGACCATAGGTCTTGAACGATCTTAAAGAAGCAGTGCCGGGAGGGTAGAGGCCCTCTCATGGGACTCCTATAAGTAAACACTGGGTACTTCTTAAGCTGGGTTGTGGGGCTGTGGTATCTACTGTCCTTGCCAGGACGTGTGATTTTATTTTTTATTTTTATAAATGTATGTATTTATTTATTTATTATTTTTGGCTGCATTGGGTCCTCGTTGCTGCGCGTGGCTTTCTCTAGTTGTGGCGAGCAGGGGCTACTCTTCGTTGCAGTGTGCAGGCTTCTTATTGCGGTGGCTTCTCTTGTTGTGGAGCACGGGCTCTAGGCGCACAGGCTTCAGTAGTTGTGGCTCGCGGGCTCAGTAGTTGTGGCTTGCGGGCTCTAGAGCACAGGCTCTGTAGTTGTGGCGCACGGGCTTAGTTGCTCCGTGGCATGTGGGATCTTCCCGGACCAGGGCTCGAACCCGTGTCCCCTGCATTGGCAGGCGGATTCTTAACCACTGCGCCACCAGGGAAGCCCAGACGTGTGATTTTACATTTGCTTTTGTGCGTTTAAAACATTTCATAACAAGAAAACACTACTTAGGCAGTACTTCCTCCCAACAGACTGTAAAGACCTTGCCATGATTGGCATGTTAAGAAAAATGCCATTTCTGCATCGCCAGAGATGCCATGCCTCATGGACACAGCCAGGGGCAGGCAAAGGGCAGGGTTCTCTGCTGGCCTCGCTGGTCCCAAATCTGTGCACGCCCTCAGGAAGTATTTCTGAATCACTGTGCTTCACCGTGTTTCCCTGGTGTGATAACGCATAATGCTATCCAGATGGCCTAAAGCTCTGCTACTTTCATTTGACTTTTAAAAAAGTGTTCCCTCATTAGCTAAACATACACAGTTCTTGCTATTTCTGATATTCCATACATTATGCTGCGTTTCCACTGATTAGACCATTAAGAAAAATACCCATATAGCAAATTAACCAACATGGCCATGATGATAAGATGCTAAATTTCAGGGGCAGTAAAATGTGGGCAGGAAATGTCTCAGCATGTTAAGAAGCACGTGTTTTTAAAAACCACACCAAACAGCTGCATTGTCCTGTACGCATCCAAGGGGTGTTACCGTTCTTCCAGGTTGACTTTGAAAATCTGCAGAACGAGGAACCATGTACTCACCCCTACCCTCGGCGAGCCCGTTTCCACAACTTGGGGTGGTGAATGCTGCACTCAGAGGCCCAGAGGCAGCGCCCCTGGACCCTGCAGGAGGCTGGGGAGGCCTCAGGGGCCAGAGAGGATTGCGTTCCTACCCGTGTAAGCAATTGTTTGGGTTTTCTGTTAAATGGAACTGAAACAAAGCACAGTGGTACCCATCTCTTACCTCTTTCTCCTGTCTTACTGGGCCGGCTAGAGCCTGCAGTGTGAGTGTGGCTAGAAGTTTCCAGAAGGGGCATTTTGTCTTATTCTTGCTTTTTAAAGGAAATACTTTTAACATTTCACCATAAGCATGATATGTGCAGGGGGGGTTTCAAAATACCTTTTCCAGGTGACCTACATTTCCTTCTGCAACTAGTTAATAGGACGTTTTATCATCAGTGAGTGCTGTACTTTATCAAATGCTTTTGCTGCATATATTGAGATGATCAGTTGATTCCCCCATTCAATCTGTTAATGTGGTAAATTATAGTGGAAAGTTCGATTTCTCCATATTCTTTCCAACACTTGCTATTATCTGGTATTTTGATTCCAGCCAGCCTAGTGGGTGTGAAGTCTCAGGCTTTAATCTGTGTTTCCCCGATGGCTAGAGATACTGACTGTCTTCTCCTGTGCTCATTGGCTATTTATGTATCTTCTTCAGAGAAACATCTATTTAAGTCCTTTGCCCATTTTTTAGCTGGGTTGTCGTTTGTGTTGAGTTGTAGGAGTTCTTTGTACATTCAGGATATTAAATCCTCGTCAGACACAGGATTTGCAAATATCTTCTTCCGTTACGCGGGTTGTCTTTCCACTTTCTTGATTGTGTCATTTGAAGCACAGACTATTTTAATTTTGATGAAATACAATTTATCTGTTTTCAATTTTGTCGCTCATGCTTTTGGTGTCATACCTAAGAACCCTTTGCCAAATCCAAGATCATTAAGATTCACTCTGTGCTTTTTTCCGAAGTGTTTTATAGTTTCGTCTCGTCCATTTAGGTCTTTGATGCATTTTGAGATAATTTTTGAATATTTTGTGAGGTAAGGGTCCAACTTGATTCTTTCCCGCGTGGTTATCCAGTTATCCCACACCATCTGTTGAAAGACTACTCTTTCCCCATTGGATGGTCTTCGTGTGCTGTCAAATATCACTCGACCATAGGGGTATGGGTTTCTTTCTGGGCCCTCAGTTCTATTCCATTGGTCAATATATCTGTCCTCCTGCCAGTACCACAGTGTCTTGACTACTGTTGCTTTGTAGTAAGTTTTGAAACCTTCTTTTGTTCTTCTTTCAAGAATGTTTTGGCTCTTCTGGGTTCCTTGCAGTTCCATATTAGAATTAGGTTGTCAGTTTCCACAAAGACGTCCACCGGGATTCTGACAGAGATTTTGCATC